TGCCTGTATATTAATTACGATTCTGGATTTGCCTGCATATACCTGTTTACACCTGATTTGACCATTGCTTGCCTGACGCTGAATAAACCTGCATATTGGATCTTACCTCCAGTTGTTTGTGTCATCCCCCGACGTTACAATGTAGATGGCACATATAGGGCCTGTATTATTATTAAAGTAGGATATTGTTTATTTATTTATTGAAGTCTACTTTTACAACTGTGACTGTTCAAATCACTGCAGAAAGGTTCTAACCACTAGGTCCATATCATATACAGTAGGTTGCAGACACATTTTTTATTAAATAGCCTACTATTGACCTTATTCTTTGCGTACGAGCGGCTATTTGAATGTTTTTGGCTCGAGATTTCCGGTCTCATTCACTTCCAATCATTTTTTAGACGTTAAAAACTGCTCGTTACGCTGCTTGATGTTGTAAACTGATATTTTGTTATTTTATTATTCTACTTGGTCTGTATAGTCATGCAAACATTTGTTTGTAGAGAAAGTAGTTTGACCGTTTTCTGCCGTTTTGTATTCACAGTCATTTCTCCCATAGGCGAAATCTAAAACAGATGCACTTCTGCATTTTAGGTCAATAGATTACTAGACCATTACTATGCTGTATATTTTGTTTTCACAAGCTTTGGAGATGTAACGTAGGCCTAAATTTCGCTCTTAAATAATAGGTCACCTAGCATTTTGCAATGAGCCACGGCTCCGTTCAAAATGGCTAATGTTTTCAAAGTGCACTATGAAGGGAACGCAAATGTCAATATATATATTTTTTAATCATTCTACGTTTGAATGTTGAAACGTTCGAAAGCAATAGCATTGGGGGATAACTGGGAATAGAACACAGCCAGGAACTATGTTTCTAACTACAGCTCTAGAGTTGTAGTTGCAAGTGCAGAAGTTTGCGACACAGTTTGCGAATGTTCAATGAACAATGGATTTGGGAAACACCAAATCAACAAACTATGTTTGTAACGACTGAACTTGCGGCTACCCTAGTTGGCTAAGCATGGTTTTGAGCCGGAAGTAAGCTGAGGATGGAGCTAAATGGTTAGCTGGTAGTGCTAAAAGGAACAGAAGCCATCAACGGCGCCATACCGCCTCGTAGCGTTTGTTTTAAAGACGAAATGCAGCCATACGTACCTCTGGCTAAATTGTTTGCGCTCTCTAGAAATGTAGACAGGGGTACATATCCACAATGAGCCTGTGTTTATAAGTACAAGCAAACAGTATATAAGTATAAGCAATTGCACCATCCTTACTATTTCTTTCAGTTATCTTCCATGGAAAACAGAGGGGTTCTGGCTCTGAGCTTTAGCCATGGGTTCAAGCCTCCTTTAATAATGACTATTGCAATAGTAAGCCTATTTAATGTATAAACTGTTGCTGTTCAGTAAGTTTTACAATTGTATATTGGTTTAATCTGCAAAATATGTATTATCATACTGTATGGCAAACCTTCTTCAACTTGTATAAAGTAGTGATTCTAAATATGACTTAAACTTGTACTGAAAAATCTGTAACTTTAATCTGTCTAGTGTCCTCAGTGTGTTTCTCACATCTGTCTTGGATCTGCACAGCCAAACATTGGTTAAGTCATCATTATACCCTGTATTATGGAAAATAAAAACACTGAACTGCAAATAGAGAAGGTGGTTGAAATAATGACCCAAGTCAAGCCACCTTTGCGTCATAGGGCAGAAAAATATAACAAAACCCCCAAAATACTCTGGTAGCGGTGATTCGGGCCAGGTGTGGAACATACTGTGATTCCTGGACAAACTAAACCATGAACTTAAGTCAAATAAAAACCAGATCCAGACTGCCCTAAACATATGTTCACTTGCAGTATGGTGCCAAACTAAAAATGCGTTTTGATGGTTGAATTATTAGCTGTCAAGAACATAAAACTAGGTTATAAAGCACTAGCCACAGGACTAGAAAAAAAATGCATGCAAAACGGTGTCTGTCCTGTCTTTGGTAAATTATTGATGTTCCAGGTTTGGAGCAGTTGTGTTTGCTTGCATAACTGGCACACAAGCACACATTACACCGATGACGTGCGCACTGTCCATCCAAACCCTCTCACATTCATTGATTTCAAACAGATAATGAGATCATTCCAATGCAGATGTAGCTTTACATCAGTAGTGAGTATGAGAGACCAGTTTGTATGGCTGTAATATCACTGACGTTGTAAAATATTTAAGATTCAACAGTGTTTTATGCTGTGAGTAGCAGTAATCTGGGACATACATGTGCCATTAAGTGCATTAAAAGTCCCATATATGTTGATGTGCTGTTATGACTTCATTCTGGACAGCCGGAGGGTGCATCTGCATCATAAATGGGTCATAAGGGTCCACATCTGGAAACTGATATGACACTATTTGGACGAGATACAAGTATTTGAAATCTGATGGTTCAGGAAAATCTAAATACTGAGAAAATCTCCGGTAAAGTTCTGTAAATTAAGTTCTTAGCAATGCATATTACTAAAAAAAATGTGTTTTATTTATTTACTGAAGGAAATTCTAAAAATGTTTTTAATGAACATGATCTTTGCATATCATAATCACATTATAGTAATTTTTGGCATTTTACAAAATCAATAATTTTGACTCATACAATGTATTTTTTGCCTAAAACTATACCTGTTTAAAATAAATTGCTAAACAAAGTGCATTTAAGCCAGGGTGCCAAACTCAGTCCTTGAGGGCCAGTGTCCTGCAGAGTTAACTCCAACTTGCCTCAATGCACCTGCCAGAACATTTCTAACAAGCCTGCTTATGCTTTGTTCACGCTAGAGTTTGAGCCTGCAAAATTGTGTTGCATGGAGCTGCGAAAAAAGGCAGGATTAAACAAATTATTAGACCAGTGGTTTTCAAACGTTTTTCATCAAGTACCACCTCAGAAAAAAAGTTGTCTTTGCAATACCACCATAATGAGCGGTGTTAAAATACAGTAGCGTATTAGGTCCAGTAAAGCAGCTAAAGCTCTGTACAGTTCAAAAACAAACCATATTCAAGAGTTCACACTTAGATATTGCTTGACAACTGTAAGCAGGTTTGGCATGCTGTCCCGGGAGAGAACCCTGAGCTCGGAGATAGTTGAGCCCAGGGCTCCCGCCAGGTCCATAGAGTATGTAAGGGGAGTACGAGATCAGGTGGTTCTCGAGAGCTCCCCTTTTTAAAAGGAGGAAAGGAGGAGAAAGGGGGTGGATGGGGGGTTTCTTCGGAAAACGAAGGTAAGGGAGTAATATCTAGCTAGGCTATTTATAGTAAGTTGGGATAGATCTGATTGGCTAACTAATGATTGTAGATAGGCGGCCAGCTGCGGTCAATTATATCACGTGCTCCTCTTGAAATTAGTTTAAAAACTTCACTTAGTTCCTAGAACATTTAAATTAAAATGTGCTTTTAAAAATTAAAAATGGTAGGTTACTGTTCTTAAAAAGTAAAAAAAGAAAAAACTCCTGGTTTATCAGCACCTGGAAATGTTGCCTGGACCTTATAAATATAGGCTTTATGTCATCATATTCATATATAAGTCATTTTTGATAATTTATTTAAATATATGTAGTATGTACATATGACCTATTTGATTAATACGCGTTCCACTAGAAGGAAGCCCATGTACCACTAGTTGTACATGTACCACAGTTTGAGAACCACTGGATTAGACATTTAAAAAAGCAAGCGATTGGTCCATATTTTAAATTTCCGTTCAAGAGGTCATGTTTTGGTCTTCCATTGGTCTCACACAGTCACTGGATGCGATTTCACAGGTCAGAGTTCACCAAGCTTGAACTTTGCAACGCAGTGAACTGAGAAACTTGTCGCACAAGCTTGCGTTTCCAGTCTGACGCATTTGCTTGCTTATGCATGAAAGTCTATAGGGAGAAAAGTCCAGTGTGATCGCGGTTGAAGAGCTTGATTAGCTAGCCCAGGTGTGTCTGATTGGGGTTGGATCTAAAGTATGCAGGACACCAGCCCTCCAGGACAGAGTTTGGGCACCTTGATCTAAGTTTTTATCATAGAATAAAGCCAGACAGGCTTATCGGCAGCCTGACGCAAAGCAGAACACTGTTATATGAGACCGAAGGGCTTTATTCTGTGGGGAAAAAATGCCTGGATGTATGTTATCCCACTTACTAGTTGGCTACTTGACACAAAATAAAAAAAAACATGCAAAACTGTGCTGTAATAATGTATTAATTCTTTAATAAAAGGCAAAGCTGACTTAAATGAAAACAGCACAACGGAATATATACACTAACCTTCATATTGTTCAGTCACAAGGTGGTGCTAAAAAGTCAAAAACAACAGCGTGACAGACAAACAAATAAATATGGATTAGAACACTTTCACTAACGATAAGAGGGATTTGAAGCACCAAGAATATACATATATATATATGTCTATATATATATATATATATATATATATATATATATATATATATATATATATATATATATATATATATATATATATATATATATATATATATATATATATAGCTTGATTAATATATATATATATTAATATATTAATATATAAATAGTTTAGGTGTGTTTGATTGGGGTTGGAGCTAACCTTTTCAGGACACAGGCCCTCCGGACCGACTTTGGACACCTGTGACCTAGATGATCCTGTGTTTTTAGTTTCATCGAATGTTGTCTGGGAATAACATGAATGTCATGACTGACCAATCAGAATCAAGTATTATAGACAGCCATCTAGTAATGTTTGTATCACATTCCTGGAGCTCAAATAGCAATGCATGAACACTCCCAATCCCCAAAAACCTAGGCATGAATTCTCTAGAAATGCATAATGAATCTGATCAAATGCCTTGCAGTTGATGTAAGTGCATGGTTTTGATTGACTAAGAATGTCTACTACGTGCACAGATGTACAGTATAGTGAATATGCTCCAGCTGCCCTCAGTATTCAACATGACAGTTGTGTTGTTTCTTGCAGAACCGACTCCAGGGCGCCCCCAGCCTGCTGATGCTGGCCCTGCAACAGCAGCTCAGTGAGATGAGGGTGGATTCAGGACTCGCATGTGAACAGAATACAGAGGAAGATTTGGAAAGTCCCAGTGGATCGAGTTCAGGTACATCACGACTCTGAAACATTTACTTCAGATAGTGCTCTGCAAAATTGCACGGTTGTTGTGGATATGCAGATGAACCGAATGTTGGCGCATGCTAATTTCTGTTATTTCAAATTAAAGCTAATAACACTGAAAATAAGATTAACATATCTTGATCCCTCTAGGGTTTTATGATCAAAGTGAGAGTCTGTCTCCTCCACTGCGTTCCTGTTCCTCCCCAAACCTCAGCGTCTCCTGTCACCGGCCCAGATCAATGGGTGAGGGTTTTCTTGAAACACATTTTATGCCTGTTTTTAATGCATGGCCACTTGCAGCATTAATATGCTAAGCTTCCAGTGCTATTCACGTTTAGTTATATAGCTGTACTTGAAACCGTCAGATTTGCTGGTTCATATTGTAAACTAGAAACTAATAATAAAATAGTATATGATGGACTGTATTATTGTAATGATAAACATGATGGTGTATAGCACAAGTTGTATTACTGTTTCTATAGAAGCTACACTTTAAAAAAGGCTTGCATTAACCCAAAGTTGGGTCAAATATGGACACACCCAACATTTCAATTACATTTAAATATGGTTTGTCTAAATTTGAATCAACTTTGGGTTTTTACAACCCAGGCTCATTCTGAAAACGTAGCCCCGCGGACGTATCTGCAGACTGCGATTTACTTGGCCTGAGGTACTAATGGCCGCATTTCATTTTTTCGGGCAAATGCTACGGGGCGGTGTGTGACGCCGCTCCTCTTCTTCGTGCTCGTTGGCTCACCTCCGTGTGGAGGGCTTTCCCGCCGCAACCAGTTTTTCCGCTTAGCTTGTAGTGTTACTTTGTCGGAGCGGTGGCCCGGTGGAGGAGGAGTCGGCCACGGCGACGACCGGGTTTGAGTACGGGGAAGAGCGGTTCCAGAAATCAGGTAAGATGAATAACAGAATTCAAAAAATAAAAGCGAACGAGTTCGTGACGGGGCGAGAATGCGGTGAAATCCGAAAACTCGGTCAAAATCGGACGAGGGCTTTTGCTTTTCTTTTCTGGATGGCTTTTGTAAATCGCTTGGGTTTAGGGAAGGAGGAGGATGGTGGCTGGATCGGTCGATTGTTCAGTCGTTCAGCCAGTCAGTCAGTCAGTCGTAAAGTCGGTCACTCGATAGCGGCCTCTGGTATCTTTTATGCAAGAACAGCGCGGGCACAAGCGGAGTGCGCTCCTGAGAAGTGTTCGAGACGCGAAAAAGTACGCACAGCGGCCTCTCGCAGATTCAAAAACTGCACAAAAACGTACCTCTCAGGACGTATTTCACGGTCTTCAGAAACGTCCGCGGGGCTACGTTTCCATAATGAGCCTGGGTTGGGTTTTTACAACCTAACTTTTTATTACAATGAGTCCGTAGTCATATAATCTTACTTATATGTTTTAAACTTTGTTCCTACTCTAGCACAATAGCTGTGTGAAAAAAACTTGTGCTTGATAATAAAATTCATAACTTTTCCTTCAAAATATTAAAATATCTCTAAAAATAATATAAGCGTATGACTGCCTTTGAAAAAGTAGGTCATTTGCAAGGGGATCATCACACTTGAGCATCCTTTGGATCAGAATCTTTGAAAACCCCTGGTGCTTTAGTTTTATTTCTCATCAAGTATTTATTTCTCACACACTGACAGATGCCTACATGCTGGACTGGGAAGGTCATATGGAGCCCAAAGTACACACAACCCTGCCTCGCTCATTTTCTGCCCCATACCCCCAACTGGAAGGCATTGCCGAAAGCATCGAGGAGGAAGAGGAAGAAGATGAAGATAGCTCTCAGTGGGTATCAGATCAGATGGCAGATGGGCATGAAAGCTTTACGCCTGACATGAGCCTCACTTCTGATGTGGAGGCCGATCCTGTAGGGAAGATAGATGATGGTCCAACAGAAGAGGATATCCAGCAGGCTATGCGTGTGGAGACGTACATTCTGGGACTCCTGCAGCGGCGGCAACTCAGTTCTACAGCAGGACTCAACTCTGATCCCAGTGAGTGGCAAGAGTTACAGACATACCCGCCTGGTTACCCTCAACTCAATCAGTCAGAATGGCAGGAATGGGAAGAGAACGAAGGACAATCACAAGATGGATATTATTTCAACCTTCCCAGTTCCCAAATTGGACCAACTTCCCTAAGCAGTGAGGAGCCAGAGTCCTCTTTGGAAGTGGATCAGTATTTAGTTGAGGATGTTTATACCAGCAGCAATGAATCCCCTCGGCATCAACCGGTTTACACTGAACGCCGTGCCACGATGTCAGACACCAGGAAACCTCACATTCACACCTGCTGCAATCACACTTGCGTACCTACGACGTCAACTCCAGTGTCCCGTGAGCAACACCAACCAATTCCATCTCAAAAGTGGGCGCTTCTTCGGTCCCTTGCTAGAAGGGGTCCAGAGGAACAGTGGGCAGCAACCAAGACAACAATTCGCTCTCGTTCAGAGGACAGTTGCGTTTCTCAAGGATGGGGTGCCCAAGTTGAGCACAAATATTACACTGTTGGACGGGATATGGGCAGACATCATAGTGATGAATTTTACCCGCCCAGTCAGCGACTCTGGTGCTCCTCGGCAGATCTCAGTCAAGAAGAGGATGAGGGGATATTTAAGGAAGACATGCAGGAGTTCGATCGAAACCATTTACCAAATGCTCAGCTTTTAGAGCAGAACCAGAGGTTGCAGGAACGGATGGAGGCATCCACTGGTCCGACCAATGGTTCAGACTCCAGCCTGAGTGAAACTTTCTCTCCAGGAACCAGTTCGGTGTCCAGTGATTCAGATGAGAGCGGAGGGCTGGTCTGGCCTCAACAGCTTCCCCCTCGCTTGCCCCCTTCGTCCTCCTCATCATCCCAAAATCCCCCCAATGCCGTGGTCAAGATTAAAGCCTCACATGCGCTCAAAAAGAAGATTATGAGGTTTCGTTCAGGCTCTCTCAAACTCATGACCACTGTTTGAGTCTGTACTTGAAAATCTGCAGTAAATGACATTGATAACTATACTTAATCCAGTGGTTCTCAATTCCGGTCCTCGGGCCCCCCCACCCAGCACATTTTGTATGTCTTTCTTACTTAACACACCTGATTCAGATTTTAAACTAATTAACTGAAAGATCCATGAACTGGTCCTTGTGTGTCAAATACGAGAGACATACAAAATGTGCAGGGCGGGGGGACACGAGGACCGGAATTAAGAACCACTGACCTAATCCATCGAGATGTAGTACGAACTGTTTTCAGCATCAAGCCTCTGAACCATGATACAAAGCAAACCTATGAAGCACTGTGGATTGATTAGGATTATGTGCAATAGGAGTTATTTAACAAAAATGACAACTTCGTTATTTTCTTACTCTTATGCCGCTCTAAACTTGATAGTGAGACAGTCCTCTTCAATGGAACATAAATAGTACACATTGTATTTTATTCATACAATGGTCAGCAACACTGTTTAATTACCATAATTCTTCAAATCACCCGTAAGAAAGAAAGGCATACAGGTGTGGAACAACATTAAGGTGAGTAATAGATAACAGAATATTCAGTGTTTACTATCTCTTTAAAATGGACTATGGCCCTATTATTATTACAGATCCCTCTCTTAAGCTCCATGTTTTTAGACATTGCCTAAAACTCTTCTCATTTTAGAATGAATGAAGCCAATTTTAATGGTTTTCTGTTTTAATTATGGGCAAGACAGTGAAATAGAGTCGGGAGGCATAAGAGAGTGGTAAACAGGAACAGGAAAGTAGCTCAAGCTAAGACTTATACTTGGGACAATAAAAACTTTTGTGCCATTTGTAAGAGCATAGTTTAAAGGGCTCAGCCAAAGTTGGCATTAATAGGAGGAGGTTTGTGGTAAAACTAGGGAACCCAGGCTGCCAGGGACCCCCTGGTGTTTTTGATCAATGGGAAACTCCATACCCACGGGTCGACAGCAACATCCTGCCTTAGGGCTCTACATACACTTTCTTCGACCCTGCTTTTTAAGGAACACTTTTTTTGAAAATAGCTCATTTTAGTACACAATGTAACTACAGAAGAGTCAAGTTTAAAATAGGAAAATTACCTGAACTCTTTTACCTAAACTCCAATGGTCTAATCCAGGGATGTCCAAGCTGGGTTCGAGAGGGCCGCTGTCCTGCATAGTTTAGCTCCAACTGGAATCAATACATAAGCCTGAAAGTTTCCAGTACAGGGGTGTCCAAACTTGGTCCTGGAGGGCCGGTGTTCTGGAGAGTTTAGCTCCAACCCAAATCAAACACATCTGAATCAGCTAATCAAGCTCTTATGTTGCAGTCACACTAGAGTTTTATGCATCCGAAATTCTGTCGTACAGCACTGCAGAAAGGATGATTAGACATTTAAAAAAGCGAGCGATTGGTCCATGTTTTAAATTTCTGTCCAGAGAGATCATATTTTGAACCTCGATTGGTCTCACGCAGTCAAGTGATGCGGTTTTGCAGGTCAGAGTTCACCAAGCTTGAACTTTTCAACGCAGCGAACTTCGCAACTTGCCACACAACCTTGTCTGACCTTCCCAGTCTGACGCATTCACATGCGAATGAATGGAAGTCTATTGGGAGAAAATTGCAGTGTGACCACAGCTTCACTGGATATACTAAAAACTTCCTGGTAAGTGTGTCGAGGCAAGTTGGAGCTAAACTCAGCAGGACACCGGACCACCAGGACCGAGTTTGGACATCCCTGTTCTAGTATATCTAGAAAGAGTTTGATTAGCTGGGTCAGGTATGTTTAAATGGGGTTGAAACTAAAATATGTAGGACACCGGACCTTTAGGATTAAGTTAGTACAGCCCTGGTCTAATCTGATTCACAAATCTAAAGTAAAGCTAAAAGTGCTCCTGCCAGAGCTGGAGATTGGTTAAATTGATTCAAAAATGGTCAAACTCACCTTGTTAATTCTGGGGTAGTTGCAAAATGAGCCTATTTTCAAACAACAAAAAAGTGGAGTGTTTCTTTAAAGCCATTTTAACACTATGCCCACTTTTTAAAACATGTTCCCTTCTTTTTTGCCATCTCTTAACAAGGAAACAGTAATTACTAGGCAGAAGAGTGGTATGCATTCACCTGGAACTGATCCTCATTAGTTTAGCAGTTTGAAGAGGGCAATTTTCATGGCTCATCTCACTCCCACGCAGGACAGGACAGGATGTGCCTGGGGTAAGGGAGGCATCTTTATCAGTACTACGTACCATTTTGCCTGCCATGTCCCAGGTGTTGTCTCTAGTTTGCACAGAATGTTATCCATTCATGAGAATGAATTCAGCGTGATAACACATTTTGTAGCATGTTTGTAGTGTACTGGAAGTTTTTCACTATTTATAGCAACCGATTCGTATTTATACTTTTGATATCACATAACGTCTTTAGCGACGCCACGTTGTGTGATGTCCCCACTGGAATATTGAATTGTCTTGCTGCTACACAGCCAATCTCCTTTACCTGTGCTGTACAGTGGAAGCACACTCCAATGTGGAGTGAGGTAATGTATGCCTTGCCTGAATACTATGATTCACAAACGCTCATTTCATGCCTGCAGTGTATTTTCAAGATTTTGTATGTAGCCTATCAAAATGTTTCTGCACATTGCATGCTGTTAATAAACTCATTTATTCATGAGCTCTTTTTTTCCAACTTATTTGGGTAACTTTTATTGCTGGTTATGAAGTATTTTCATATTAATTTGTTCAAAATAGTCAAAGTGATAACATAAACCCCTGTAAAACAAACTTACCACCTACGAATCATATGAATCACAACAATAAGGTGGAACACTGTAGTCTTAATGGTTTAATAAGAACAATAATCATATGAATAATCACAAATGACAAAATAATAAAACAAAATAGAGAAATAAATATTGTATGTCTTTAAAGGGGTAATTATTTAAGGTAAATTTCCATGTGGAGAAAATTGTTGGAGTTTACTAGTGGCCCATTTCCGCAGAGTGGTACAGTACGAGCCAGTGCGCCACTTACTCCACTGTCAAAAGCGAACCGTACCATACCACCTTTTCAGTACCCTTTCCAAAGGGTACCTAGCATGACAAAAGGGCACCAAAAGGTGGAGCTAGACACGCAGCTGATTGCTATTGGTTTACAAAGAAACGTCACTAGCGTGTACACAAGCCGGAAAAAAAAAACAAAGAAAGCACCATTTGGATTACAAAGCCGAGACCTTACATCGTAATACCATATGCATATCGTCACATTAAAATTATAAGGTTTTATCTGACAAAATTCAGATTTTGACAACTTATTTACATTATGGGATGTTTTTTTATAAGTCGTTTACATTTTAAGACTTTATTTAAAAACAAATATTACACACATACTGTTTGCTATATGGACTGCAAAAACTTTGAAGCTCAATAATTCGAAATCATTTAGAACGCAGATAGAACCTTAAAATTCCAAGGTGGCGATATTATAACGAGCCATGGTGGACTCGAGCTCAAACAAACCTTATCGTCGTCTTGATGAACAACCTCAAAGCCAAGAAGAACAAAATCTGCCGTGTCCTGTTGTTTATTGTTTATTCACGCGATTATTAAAGTGCTTCTGACATCTGATCCTTTCAGAAATGGACAAACACAACAGTGAAGCGTGAACAAACAAAGGAGAACCCAGTAAAAAGGAGCAAATGATTCTTTCAGCAACCTAAAACATGAACAAACTGCCATGTTTAACTATTATCATCACCTTTTGGACTATTATGAACTCTGGCGGAATTGCTCTTTACCAGAGGCTACATGTGCTGCTGAAGATTAAGGATACAGATGAGAGGTTTGCACTGACTGTGGGCTATATGTTGCGTGTTGTTTCTGAACCCAAATAAGGACTAAATGTATGCTGTGTGTAGTTTATCTGTAATTGGTAACATCGGAGACTTTAAGGGTCTGTATGTGTTCACATATGTTGCATTTATTTATTTATTTTATATAATTGCAGACGTTACAGTAGGCTATTTCGCATCATTGATCTGCAGTTATAATCAAATCCTGTTCATAGAAAGGTTAGTAATGAACATTTATACACAAGTATTTATGTGTGTAAAGCCTCTGTTTTGTGAGAAGTGCTTCTCATATGTTATGTGAATGACCCGTACAGCTTTACTGTAGACATTTCCTCGAATGAGAATGATGTTGGCTAAAACTTTGTCGTACACCAATCCCACCATTGGTACCCTTTTAGGCAAGCCTGATACCGACCTGTACCATACTACTCAGTGGAAATGGGCCTTTATAGTATCAGATGTGCTCGATGTACTGTAGGACTTACTTAAAGATTTACTTTAGACCATTTTGAGGGATGTAAACAAAAACAAAGGTCCTAACATATTTCCTGTTTTACATTTTTATTTTCTATAGCTTCTGAGAATCCAAAACGGTCCATGTATTGATAAATAATATTACGAGAGCTGTTTTAACTTTAAGATGTGATTTGAACTGGCTCTTGTAACAGTTATGAAATAGTTTGAAAGCCGGCAGGAAATGTTCATGGGCCAGTGACATCGCCTTATTGAAATAGCCTATAAAATTTCTAGAACATTTGCATGAGTTGAAACAATACACAAAGGACTTTGCATATCTGTACATCAACAAAAAATGATAATCATTTGCAGATGGTTGTGTAAAATGTAACAGTCTTTATTTCATGTTTTCATTATTTACAGTATACAGAAAGGTTAAACAAGAGTGAATAAACAGAATATATCTAGAAATGGTTAGTCATTAGCAGTGAGATACATATGCATGCTACAGTTACACAAACGTATAACTGTAACACAATGACTGCTAACTTTAATTGTTTTTGGTAATAGTAGTAGGACATGACCTCGTAAACCACCATGACAAGGAAATACCCAGGTCAGTGTACCCAATATACCCAATCATGTTTCCTAATAAACCACATAGACAAATGCACACATACACGAGAACTTAGCTACTATATGGCATTACTGCAATATTACTGCATAAT